GCTCTCCCAGGAGTGCAACACAGCTTCAGGCTACCGCAGCCTCAGTCTTCCCCCACTGAGCCCCTCCTCGGTACCCTAACAAACACCACTGTGTCCATCCAGCGCAGCCCCCAGACCAGAAATGGGCACCAGTCTGGTCCCTGCTTGCTGGGAGGGGTTGAGGACCGGGTGCTGGAGAGGGCTGTTGGATCCAGGAGAGCTGCAGGAGGTGAGTGGGTCCCTCTGGGAGAGGAGGCAGCAGGGACAGGGGAGGGGGCAACAGGGCTGCAAAAAACACAGGAGGGCTCAGTGCTGGGGAGGACGTGCAGATCCACCAGCTCTGTCCTGGAAGTGCTGCCTGGCAGCCGGATAACTAACGCAAGAGATCCTCCCATGCTAGAAAGCCATGCTGCTGTCTCCTACTGGAGACAACTGCCCCAGTCATGCCAGAGCAGCCCCTGCTGAGAGATGACTCAAGGGACGGGTGTGTGCTTTCATGTCCAGTTTTATTAGTGTTGCATTAGTACCATAAAATAGTTGACGAGGTTGAGCACGTTGCAGTTTGTTCCAAAAAAAAGGCTATTTACATTTAATCTGTCTTCATTTAAAAAACAAAACAAAAAAACCCCAAAAAAACCCCCAAAACAGAAACAACCTAGAACCCAAACAATACAACAATGAAACAGGTGGACAACTCAGGAATCTACAAAGTGGTAACGTCCCCTCGTACGCCACGGTCCGGACAAGGCTGGTGGCACACAGCCCTGGCACACGTGGTACCCACGCTTCCACGGTGCTTTCCCCACGGTCGCGGCACGTATGCAAGCGGACAGGCAACACACTGGCAACCCTCCGGCCAAGGCGCAAAGCAGCAGCTGACTGGATGTGGCCCCATACCGGTGCTCTTCCTTAAAGGAAACCAGTGACCCGCTGCTTTCCCAGTAGGCATGTCCCCTTCCTCTCCCAGTGCCGTCCCACCCCAGCTCTCCAGTGCTCTCCTGCAGCACAGGCTGCTGGTGAGAAACACGACGGGGCCTTTGCTGCAATGGCAGGTTAAGCATGGGGCAGCGTGGTTCTCAGCTGAGTTTGAGGATGGAAAGCAAACAGGCACATCTCCAGCCCCAGAAACCTCCCAGCCACCTTCTGCAGGATAAAGCCACAAGCCCGTGCTAATTAAAGCAGCGAAACACAGCCAAAGAGACGGTGGCTCTCCCCAAACTCATGTGTAATTAAAGAAGACTCTGCAGTTATCGCCGAGATGTAACCAGTAACAATTGAACTGGATGGAAATTGCAGCGCTGAGCTAAAACAGCCACCCAAGATGCCCGTGAAGTCACTGGCGCTGCAGGAGAGCCCACAGCTGATCCAACATTGGCAGGGCTGAGGCTGAGCTTTTGTCTCCGGGAAACTCAACCCAGAGGACCAGGAAGCACTCAAGGTGCAACACGACGCCACAAAAACCTTCCATCTTTCATCTGCTCGCCAGCGCTGTTAAACTAGGTCAGCGCCACACAGCCCAGCGCAGCGGCGAGCCCGTTCCCGAGACCTCACCTCTGAGAGAGGCAGGGGGCCCTTCACCCAAGCGCAGCTGGAAACAAAACTGGCTGCTTTGAGAAGCCACAGCCAGGGGAGCAGGAGATGAGCTCTGTAGGGAGCAGGGGTGAGCAGTGGAACACAAAGGGACAGGGAAACCAGGGGACACCGACTTCAAAGCACCTCCTGACCGGAGATCAGCTCAGATGCTGCCCGCTCCAGCCCCTGCCTTTGCTGTCAGACCACGCGGCTCCAAAGCAAACCCCATCTAATGCAGGCAGGCGAGATAATGCCACTGCGTTTCTTTTTTTGAGTTGCACCTTCCTCACCAAAACCCTCGAGAGCTGAAGATGGAGCAGTGCTGTCTCTGCTCTAAGCCATCCTTTTGACTTCACCAACTCGCACGCAACCTCCTAACCCCGCCAGGCACAGACCCATCGCTGTGCTGGTGGCTCTCCCTGGCCCCACAGCAGGGACCCCTCCGGCCGGCGGGGCTTGCTTGTGGGAGGGTCCCCTGGGAAACTGTTGGGCGAACTGGGAGGGTGGGAGAGCCGAGATCAGTCACTCATACATGTCACTGGGTGTAAAACCCCTTCCCAAAAAGGCCTAAGCCACGTGCATGCTTTGATGCTCATTTACCTTAGAAACAGAAACCTGTTTGTCCTCCAGTCAGGGACAGACACAGCTGCACAAAGTGGCTCCACACAATACAAGAGAAACAACACAGGCACATCACCCCGACCAGAGCAGCACCACCAAACTCGCACGCCTCCAAGGCATGGGAACACCACAGCCACCCCCTGGCGCACAGCTGCCCACTGGCCCAGCCTGATGTTGCCAGACTCTGGGAGGACAAGGCTGAGAAGTCGGGATGTTTCTGTGCACAAGAGAGGCATTTCAGAGCAACGACAGCTTTCCACAGGGGAGAAACCCTGCGGAGATGCAAGCCCTCAGGTCTCAGGCGTACAGAGTTTCACATTCGCTTGTATAAAGTTAGAACCAAACACAAACCAACATGAAATGCAACGAGCAAAGTGTTTCTCTCTCACACGTACACACATACACACACACACACACACACAGAGTAGAGCAGGGCAACACACATTTGATAGGCAGGACCCTGGAAATCCTGTCCTAGCTACCATTTGTTTCTTTACAGTAGGTTGAAATACAAAGAGGAGCACAGTGATGGTTCCCCCCTCACCCCCCCCAGTAAACAAAGTTATTGCAGTCGGTCAGTCCACTCCACCTCCACAGCACTAACACGCTCCGGCACCGAGAGCTGCCCAGGCTTCGTGCGGCTCCCGACGCTGGAACCCAGCCCAATCACTCTTGTCACACCAGCGTGAGACTCGAGGAAGAAATCACACACTGACTAATTTCCTTTAAAAAGATTTTTTTTGTTGTTGATGTAACAGCCTCAATAAAGGAAAAGAAGTGATGTGCTTATACACCATCTCCCACGCTACTGCTGCTAGGCAACGCTATACAGTCCCACAGCATCAGCTCAGGTCAACCGAAAACGCACGAATCGATGGACGCGACGACATTCAGACTAGAGCCGAGCTTCTGCCACAGCCAAGAGCCAGCAGACGGCAGGCAGACCTGCCCGCGGGACTGCGGGAAGAAACAAGAGTATTGCAACTAGCCAATATGGCCTGCCCAGCAGTGTGCCACCAGGCGTGGGACCATGTCCTCCTCCCCTGCGTGGTCTGAAGGGAATACCCAGTCCCTGGCCAAGTAGGTTGCACTTGTGCTGGGAAAGGGTTTCATGAGATCAGTGTCGGTGAAGCAGCCCCTGCTGTGAGCTGCAACAGGCACCAGCAGGGACCATGCTCTTGCCTAGTAACCCCTTGCTCCCTCCCATCAGCAAGAAAAGACCTCACAGGACACACCGCCAGTGCCCTGCCCAAAACTAACCGGGAGGTCCCTGCGCAGAGCAGGACCTGCCAAGCGGGGCAAAGCAGCTTCCCCAAGCCTTTAAAAACCCAAGGGTAAGGGATCAGACAAGAAAAAAAAAAGAGAAAAAATATTGACCTGCAGATGCTGGTAAAGGTTCAAAAGCATCACTGCCCTCAGAAAGTGCCTTCTGGAAATGCTGGCAGAGCCTGGCCTGCCCACAAGGGTGGGACCCAAAAGGACCACACAAAAAACTTTAGTCCCTTACCCTGAAATGCCAGAGATGTCTGCTCTTCCACACAGCCAGCACACTCTGCTCCCCAAACCCCATCAGCCACCTGCTCCGAGTCCCTCCCAGGCATGCCTCGGGAAGCCTGGAGAGCAAAAGGCCACATCTGTAGCAGCTGGAGCTGCCACCTGCGGCTTGTCACCCCACCTCCTTCTAAATGCATCCCCTTGTCCTGGTAGCCCAAGCGTCCCTGGCAGCAGCAAGGTGTACAAAGTGAACGCAAGTGCAGCCGGAGCCAAGCCAACAGAGCAAGACACCTAAAAATCTCATTCCTCCACCTCCTGGGTCATCTTGCTGCCCAAGGGGGACAGAGAACCTTGGCTGGCTTCATCCTCTCTCACGTCGCAGCTACAGCTTCCACTGCAACTTGGGACTGAACCCCCTAGGAAATCCTCAACCCGTTGGCAATGCTGTGCCAGGCTAAAAGCATATCCTACTGGGGAAGGGATGCAATCCACCGAGAAACAAGGAGGAATACTCAAAAAGCAGAAGGTAAGGACAACATCCATCTACAGAGCAGCCCGCAGGAGGCTGCCTACCCCCAGCACCCTTCGTTTTTGTTACAGTCTCTCAGTTGGGAGAGGTCCTGGGCGGTTTGAGGGCATGGTGAAAATGCGCTCCTGCAGCGGCCCTGAAGCCAGGTGGTCTGCACCCATCTTGGGGAGATGCACGAGGGAGACGGCAGAAGGCTCTGGGGAGCACAGTGCGGTCAGGGCAGGACAAAGGCAGCAGATAAAGCAGCCCACGCTACCTCACGTGTGCGGTTTGACAGATGGACGGGAAGGCAGCTGGACCACGCAGAGTGCCTGGCTGACTCCCAGTCCAGCCACTACAGTGATGTATCACTTCACAGACAACGGCTCATCTTCCTGGGTTTGTTTTTTTTGGCAACTTAATTTTTTTTTTCCTCTTATTTTTTGTTTTTATTTTTTATTTTTTTTTTTTAGAAAGCATTAAAAAAAATCTGCAGCTATTAAAAAAAATCCTTTCCCTTTAGAGGCTGGGCGAGGTTTTATTGACAGGTAAATAATCGGTGTGAGTATGTAAATAGCAGCGACCCCACTGATGCGGTGTCCCTCAGCAGCACAGCCAGCTGCAGGGACATTGTGACTGGCTTGGTTTGGTCATTGTCACAGACCCGGGACACTGGAGTTTCTTAACACCTAGTGTTTCCCTAATTCCTGTTCCTGCCCAACCCTCCTCAGGCATCTCTTCAGCACAAACACCTGCCCGTCCCTGTGGCAGACTCCACACTCTGAAGGGGGATCTCCTCTCCAGACCTCCCTAGCTATGCAAGTGGTTTGTTTTTCAAACTGGACAGCTGAACTCCCTCCAGACTCGCTGATCTCTCATCCTTTGGCAGCAGGAAGAAAGACTGGCCATCTTTTTTTTCCTAGTAGTACAGAGGAAGGGGGCCAAACGCACCAGAACGCGCATGATCTTCTGCAAAATCCGTTTGAGCTGATCCACGGCTCCCCCATCCCACTCACACCAATGAGGTCTCAGGTTAATAAGCAGTGCAGTTATTCAGCTATCTGCTTGTAAGTGGTAGGTGTTCTTGGGCAGGTCGCCTGCTCCTGCCAACTCCCCCACGACTTCATGTTGTCAGCACATCTATATTTAAGACTGGGGTTTTTTTGCCTTTGTTTAAAGGGGTTTCCTTCCCTTGTAGTAAACTTAAGAGTTAATAGAAAAATGTAATTCAAGAGTAATCCAAGCACATCTGTAATTAATTCTGCAGGAGAGGGCAGAGCGACGCGAGTCAGTTGGCACGCAATTCCTGGCTCCTGGTGTGCAGTCCCCGGGACGGACAGCAGGTCCCTCCACCGAGCACGGCTAGAAGTTAGATTTGGAGTGTCCAAATATGCAGATGGGAAAGTGCTTGACATGAGAGGACCACTGTGCTGCCAGCTGAAAGAACTTGACGTCATTCCACTCCACCCCGTCGATCAGGACTGCAGGGGAGGGTAAAAAGAGAGGAGAGTTAGAAAATACCGATGGAAGCGGCCAGCCTCAAACAGCTTTGCTAGAAACCTCCCTGCAGTCAGCAGAGGGAGGCCTGGTATGTGCAGCTCTGGCTGGCCACCCCACCGCTGTCACTGTAAATAGCTGCACATAGAGGGGAGAAAGGCTCAAGAGCAGACCAAGTTTAGGAAGAACAGCTCAGATTGTTGTTCCAGCATTGCTCGCTGACACTGGAGGTCCCCAGACTGCTGACTTCAGCGTCACCTGATCCGATTTCTCAGATTTCCTAAACACATTCTATTTTCTTTTTTGGGCAAATGCACTCTTACAGAGACGGACATCAGACTGCCCTCACTGGCACTCTTAACCAGGAGATCTGCATCTCCTAAAGAGGTGACACACGTACTGTGAACACCCCTTACTCTCCCCAGTCTCACAGGGACTATGCCAGGATTAAGGAGGTGACCTAAGCAGATCCCTCTGCTGTTAACAGTGGTGGGGATTATCAACCGAACAGGCTACAGGGATATTTTTGATACTGGATGCACAGCTCCACTGACAGCCACTTTAGGTCTGCCTGCAGGATGCACGCACAGCTCCTGCTGTGGCATGCCTTTGTGCCAGAGTCCTGCCTAGAGGAGCAGCCACACTCTCACTGCTCTCTGCTGTCACTTTCCAGACGTTCGAGGGAAACAGAGAATGACAGAGAGGGGGAATGAAACCTGGCCCAGCCCTTGTCCTCATTCAGGGCACTGATTTAGAGGAGATCCTAGGTAAGGAAGGATTTTCCCACATCCCGGACCTATTAAAGCACGCCCCCACGCTGGACACATCCGAGGCCATTCCCCAGGAACACCCCCACTACGTTGGCTCCAGGGCATCGGGCAAGACAGCAAGTCAACTCTTTGCCTGGAGGACAATGCTAGCAGCTGAGCCTCGCCCCAGAGCCCGACAGGATGCAAGAGCCGCACTTACCACGCAGCATGTTCTGCTGATGTTTCGCTGTGCAAATCAACCTGCTGATTCCTTCAATACACTGGCTCTTTGACTCAACCTCCTTGTCTTTTGTTTTCTTGGGCAAAAACATCACTGGAAGAAAATCAAACCGGCACACAGTGAATCTCTGCCACTCACAGGAGCTGCACCAAGACTTGCTTGGGTTTTTGCATTTAAGCATTCATGTCTGAAAATTCTAACTCTCATTTTAACTCCTAAAAGCATCGCTGTTTGGCAGGAGTTTGACCACATCAGCGCTCAGCGCTGTCACCTACACACATGGACATCTTAACCCTAAGCATCTCTACGTGAAGCGTTTCCAGCTCATAACCCAAGCTCCAAAGGGCACCTTCAGGGTAACTCCTGCTGCTCTGTTGGGACACCAGGGAAAACAGCTGCATCTGTGGATGTCCCCAGCCTTCGTCCTGTGCTGGGCTGACGGGATCTGCCGGGCAGTCGCACCACCTAGGGGGGAGTCCCACATATTGCAGACGGCTGCCGGGCAGCACAGCGCTCCAGCTTCCCACGTAGCTGCAGGCAGGTTTGCTGCACACTAACAGCAGCCCAACGTGAGCTGGGGGAGCAGGAGGGACTCAGGAGAGGTACTCTTGTTGGTGGAGAGGGAAGGCATCAGGAGAGCTAAAAAGGGTCCAGTTGTCTGAGTACCATCCAAATGCATGAACAAAGATGAACAAACTAGCTGCACAAAAGCTGGTGGTGAACACCAGTGCTCCAGGCTGGGCCAGTCCCAGTGAAAAATACTTCTGAGTGTCTCAGGATTGCTTCTCCCATTGGCATGCCACAGGGTGTGGTCGGGGTGGGAGCACTGGTACCAGCAGTGCCACAGCTATGCTGGCCCAGTAGTGACCTGCCTGCAGAGTTATACACCCGTGTCCCGCAGCCACAGGTCCAGAAGGTTGCGTTGACCTTCTCTCAGAGCCCCCCGAGCCCCTGTTTCCACCAGGAACGACCCTCAGGCCCATGGGCAGGAAGATGTGAAGGACAGCTATTGGCAGCTAAGTGCAAGTGCAGGACTGCCTTGCTGCTTCCTTGAAAAACACTTCTCTGCAGAGCCGTTCTCAATTTCTAATGTTTCACATTACCAAGGCCAGGAGCAAATACACAATTACTGACTATATCTAAAATGCCTTTTTTTTTGTTTGTTTGGAGAAAATAAATTCCATATCATGATTTTAAGAGCAGAAGATTAAACACGAAAAAGGTTAACATCAGGCTTTGCACTAAGAGCATTTCTCCTTTTGTCCCACAAAGCACGCTGTGCAAGAACATAAGAGCTCTTGTAAGAAGAGCTTACATTGCTGCTGCCCTGCTCTGAGTGACACCACCTCTTGTACGTACATGCACACTAGCAATGGCTTGGCAGGTCTGGCTGATGCATCTGTCCAGCTGTGACAGTTGTATTTTAACATGAGGACACCGCACCAAATCCAGCAAAACATCTGCTGGGGCTGCTGCCATATGGTGCAACATGATGTGATGCACACACGTCCTGCTTCTTTCTGCACCTCTGTCACGTGGCAGAGGAGAGACCAGAGCACGGAGCTGTACGGGCTGCAGGGTCTGCCCTGACTCTGGTGGCTGGGGCACAAGCTGCCTCTTACCTAATTCAACACCCCAAACCAGCACCAGCAGGCTCACAAGGAACACAGGGAAGCTGTCCAGAGCAGCATACCTCCTGGCTTTCTGGAAAGCCACCCACAAATATCCTTGCTCTGTCCCCACCTTTGTTCTTTTGGGCTATACCATCTCAGCTGTTCAGCTGTAAGCGTGAACACATCCCCTTTTTACGGCACAAAGAGGAGCCACCCTTTCAAACTCAATCACCTTACGCAGTCACTTCTCTACAGACAGACTAAGATTTTGGGCATAAAAATATGACTAAGGTGCTGTAATGCAGGACTGACAAGTCAGGCAGCCCTGGAGTGGCAGAACAGGGAGAGCAGCATTGCATTGTTGGCCTTTGGCAACAGTAAATGTGTCCACCTTACCTTTCTTGTTCTTCTCTTTTGTCACGACGGTCATGGACATGGTTGGAGTGGTGGCAATCTCACCGCTGGCAGGTAACCTGCTGACCTGGAGGGACCGGAAAGTGCATTTCAGTGTGTTTTTGGTAGTGGAGGGGTCCTTCTTCTCCGGATCTCTCTTTCTGTCCACGGGTGGAGCTGCAATCCAGTAATCCACCTGCAGGCCCATCAACTCTGCACCGAGGTTCTGGCTGGAAAACAAGAGAAAAAGGTAATTTCTGCACAGCACTCAGAGTTCCCCCCATCTGTGTTTTGTCAGAGCAGCTGTTGTTCCTGATCAGGTGGTCAGAGGACAAGCGCACGGCTCTTTAAGAAATCAGGCAGCAACATTTCGTAGTGAGACCCAACAATCACAAGAGCACAAGTCATCACTCAGTGATGCAGTCTGGGTCATGTTACACGGTGGCATCAGCTTGGCCGCACAGAACTGCAATGAGCTGAGACAAGCTGACCTGCTGCGCAGCCACAAGGACGAGCAGTGGGAAAGGGAGCAGACAAGCAGTTTCCTAACGTGATGCTGAGTTCAGTGACCCAGCCAGCAAAGGCAACCTCTGAGGTGGCCCTGTTCATTCCAGTTGTTGAGTGGGGAAGAGGGGCTGTAAGCATCTCGCTGGTGCCTCCTGAGCACTGATGAGTTAATGATTCTGGCCAGGCGCAGTACTGCCAAAATCATCCCTGAGCTGGGGCAAACGAAGTGCCTAAGGTCCCCGGGCCTTAGGCACTCAGTTCTCAGCCTCTCTGCTTCCACTTTCTATGTCCAAGAGCACTTCCTGCCACCAGCTGCTTCCCTTCCTGTCCAGATGCTCCACCAGGTTACAAAGGATCTCTGCTCTCCCCACGTCACTGTAATGGAGTTGGCACTGGGCCATCCACCCCATGGCCCCGATGTGGGCTGGGGAATTCCTGTGCTGGGAAAATGCTCTGCCAGTCCTGTGATGTTTGCTAAACAACAGCAGGTTTCAGGACATGATCTGCTCTTGAAAACTCCCGCGCATCGTGTGGTAACAGAAATGCATCACCAAAACATACTGCCAGCCTTTCCCGAGCCAGAAAAGGGAACATGAGCAGCCTGAGGAATTCCACCCTTTGCCTGTCCCTGCCTCTTGCTAGCTGACCCCGAGAGGTGCAGGGGTTTATCATTCAGCAGACAGGTATAGGTAGATAGAAGTACAGGCTGACAGCCTATAATTCTTCCTACACAGTGACACAGTGTTGAATAATATGCAAGTACTAGACAAAAAAAACTAACTTAATTTTTCTACCAGTCCATGTCCCTTGGTCAAGAAATGGCAATTGTTAAGGAAGATGAATCTGTGATCTTGAATGACCTATGCCTCCCCTCTACACCACACGTCTAATAAGAAACCCTCATGGTAAAACAAGGACAGCTCATCGTTAAGGTCTTCTCAGCAACTAATTTCCTTTTCTCTGCCATTTTATTCAGCTGAAAGCTGGACCGCAAAGCAGAGTTCATCTTTGATCACCAAAACCAGGTTTTGGGTTCTCGGGGCAATTTCAGAAGTGAGATTCTTTAAGGCTGATGTTTTGGAAATGCAGCTTTATATTTTCAGGCTCCTTTGCATCACATTTCTCATCTTAGTTGTGAAGACAAAACATCCTAATGTTCACTATGCCCAGGCAGGATTTTCTGTTCCATCCCTGGTTAAATATGTGGGTTAATCTTTCAGCCTGGGTCACCCTCCACCCCCTGTGCTGTCACATACAGATCAGTGGAGATGGAACAATGTTGAATCTAAACCTCCTAACTTCTTCATGATTTTACCACACAGCATGAAGCCAAAAAGTATCAGATTCCTAGAGCCAGGGTGTCAACTTCAGATGTACCACCTCCACAGCTCACAACTTCAATAGCCTACGCTTTTGTGGGTATGGGTTCCCAAACACTCCCGCCTTTGGAAAGCCTGACACTTCAGAGCCTGCGTAGCCCCCAGCTCTCTGCACTGCCAGCCAGCTGTTGCTGGGACCAGCCTGGGGCAGACAGGACCCTCCTGCCACCAAACCCCAGGGGGCCAACAAGAGGACTTGGGGAGCTAAGCCTCCTGGCACAGGCCAATGGCCACTAACACTTTTCAGTTGCTGGGCATCTGATAAACTGGGACTTCCACGTTTCCATTTCCTCTTATTAAAAGGGAGCTCTCAAGCCAGTTTAAGAAGTCAGAGGTTAAGAGTCCCTGCAGGGCTCTCTGGGGTGGGCAGGAAAGGTCCCCATTCTGTCTCCAACAGGGACAGTGGGAGATGCTGTTTAGGGAGAGCATGTGAGCCAGTCTCTAACTGCAGAGCGTTCCCTTGGACTTCCCCAGCCTAACAATCACAGGATTAGGCATGTTAGGAAGGGACATCCCTGAATCATCCTTTAGCATTCACTGATGGATCTGCTGTCCATGAATTTGCCTAACACCTCTTTGACCTCCTGATCCTGCTGCCACAGAAGTAGCAGAAGCAGGCACAGTCCCAATATGCCTTTCCTGCTTTGTGCCAAAGTCCTTTCCTTTCTCCCTTTTAATTGACCTCTTGGCAGTGCCACTGCGTGCCCCCAGGTCTTGTACTGCAGGTTTGGTGAACGACAGTTCAACATTCAACAAAGCCACCACCACTGCAATTTTGCAGAACTTAAGTGGCTTTCCTCTGCCTCTTTCTCCCCCAAACTGCAGAGTCCAAGTGCTTCTAGTCTCCCCTCACAAGGCTACTGCTCTGTCCCCTTGGTCGCATTGCTTGCGCTGCCCTGAACCTTTAACTTCACCATGTGCTTCTGGGTACCAGAACTGCACACAAAGTGTTAGACAGCTACACCAACATTTCGTACAGCAACAAAAAGAGTCCTGGCCAGGGCAACTCTTTACTGGCAGTTTTCCAGCGGTTTCCTCCCTTCACCCCTAAAAATTTCAGCTAAGCTAGAGGTTCATGTTGCGCATAGGTGCTGTCCTGATATGTTTTCAGGCACACACATAAATCTGCAATTCCACTATGCCACCTTACAAGTGTCAACTCTCCCCTCACAGAGAAAAAGCCTGCTCCTCCTACAGAGTCACTGACTTTACAGTCACTTGCTCCTTAAAAACACCATGTAAGAATCGTGAGGGATTAGGCTAGCACCCATGTGTATTAGGGCCAGTATTTCCTTTGGCTACTTATCTCCCTGAAAGAATTTATTCTCCAAGGGAAACTACCAGCAGATGGAGAACACAAACCTTCCCAAACAGGTTGCCACAATGGCTCATCAGAATCAGGGGTTTTGCCAGACTACAAGAAACAAGGCTGCCCCTTCTAGTTCAAATTTGTCTGCCCTTGAGTAGTGCAGCCTTCCCATCGGGTGCAAGATCCCCTTTGCCCTCCTCCGCTCCTTGTTGGCCAGCAGAGGCACAGTCACTCCAGCGGCAAAAGAGGTGAAAGGGAAAGGTGACGACTTTCGCTAGGGAGGAAGAAAGCAGAGCTATGGGTTTTCCCTTAGAAGAGTTTTCCTCTCTCCCATATATGTCAGATAAGACAGCCAAGGGAGGTGTAAAGAGACAAAACATGCTTTACCTTGAGGATGAGAAGCTGCCTGTGACAGACGGTGAGGAAGGTGGTGTGGGGGAGGCTTCTTTCACAGCAGGAGACACAGAAGGTGGGGTAGAAGAAAGGACACTGGAGCTTGAGGGAGCTGCATCATCAGAGTCACCTTGCAGAAAAGAAGTCAAACTGTTTGTCTGGGTTCGTCTCACAGCCCAGCACACGCACGCTAGGATAACTCAGTCTCTTTAGATGAGCTAGCCCCTCGGTTCTGACTGCCTCCACACTTAAACCACAGGACTTTCTATGTTTGGGTAAGAGACAGGCACAGACACTCACGCTCTTCTGGGCTTCCCACCTGGCACTTGCTCTCCTAGGATTTGCTCCCAGCTGATTTTGAGCCTCTATCGCTACTGGGGAATCTCCTACCATAACCACTGCAGGGCAGCACCCATCAGACACTCTTGGAGAATTCAGTACCTCAGGGCTGATCAAAGGGATCTCTCCATTCCCCCTGCTTCCACCCTCCACAACCAAAGCATCATTCCCTTCATGTTGGCCCTTTACGATGGTGGGAACAGCGTGGCAGCAAGGAGTGATCCTCAGAAGGGCTGCCTCCACGCACAAACCTATGTGCAACCCAGGCCACAGGAATCTGGGTTTAATAGTGAAGCAATATAAGAAACAATCCCAAGAGGTGAGAAATAAAATATTCCTGACTAGTAGTGTGTATGAAGGAGGAGAAAACAAGTTCATGTTGATAAAATAGCACTACCCCATGTCCATGTGTGTAAGCAGGTAGTATCGTGTAAGTCAGCTTTGCACTCCCCCATTAAAAAAAGTGGGTCTAAATTTGTTGTCAAATTGGCATACTGGTTGCCTATCCTGGAGTTCCCAGTGTTAGGCACATGTTTGAGATCGATTTTACTAGGCAATTGAGCCCAGTGTAGGGAGATAGGCATGAACTGCCTCCCCAGTTTGGAGCAGGAACCTCAAATAACCACAGCCATGAATCCACCCCCACTGAGAACACACATAAGAAAAATGGGTGTTTGCACATATGAGTGGAGCTTCCCTGGATGAGGGTGTAGGAATTTCAGCTGACCTGAAGCTCCTTGTAAAGTAACAAGAAAAAGGGCCCCTTGAAAGATAGAGGCCAATTCCACCTTACAAAACTCCAAGACATCAGCAATGGACAAGTTTTTTCAGCCTGTGAAGTCAGGCTCCCACCACCTGTATAACACAGAAAGCACACACAAGATGCGTGTTACCTGACGTTGCAGAAGATTGTTCCACTATTCCAACCTTCACCACCTAGAGGGGGCAAAACAGAAGAGCTCTATGAAACAAGAGTCCCCTCAACTTCAGGAACCCTCAAACTAAGCCCATCCCTACAGCCCCCTTGGCACTGTCCCTGCGGTCAAAGAGCGGTGTGAAAGTATGTTAAAAAGCAGAGTCTTCTAAGAGCCAGACAGGTCCCAGCAGTGTCCAGCCAAGCAGCACCAGCTCACAACCCGACCCTGACTTACACAAAAGACAGCACAGACCCTGTGGTGCTGTTACAGACCTGAACAGCTCTGAATAGCCCATCATCAGCCCCAAGCTATGGCAACTACAGTGCCTGTCTGTGACACCTGTGGGAACAGGGCAAGGAGGAGAAAGGAACATAAATATCCCTTCAGCATTGCTTTGATGCACCTGCTAATTACAGACATATCGCTTCCACCACACAAGTGCAGCCACTTCTAGGGTGCAGCACAGTTGGGGTTTGTTAGGAAACCGCAAAAGTAACAAAGTACAGTTTCTGATCAGAGTTTTCCAGTCTCCAAGCAAGGGAAGTGTCCGACAAAAAAGATAAAGCTCCTGGCAAAGCCTGTGGGCACAGACGTGGATAAATAACAACATGGACAGGTCAGAACAATCCCAATCACACTGTAATAAGGATACAAATGTGTTCTGATATGGCCAACCACCAGCTAGTACATTCGTGTTAACGATAAATACCACTGGCAATAATTTGTGGAACAGAGCGTGCTACAAACACAAGCTCCTGAGAACATACTATGCCTAGAAAGATAAAATGACCCTTGGTGATATAAAAGCAGAGACTTCCCATAGCGATAATCTGCTAGGGTGCACAGGAATCGTTACTGTCGACACTGCAGAGGACAGACCCTTCTTAAAGTCCTTAAGAAACTTGTATCCGGGGCTAATGTCTACCCCATATAAATGCTGACAAAGGGATCTCAAGTCAATAAAACCTGCTTTAGAATGAGAAATGATGCCACGCAGGCTACTTAGTTTGAAAACAGAAGATGTTTAAGTTCAGACATGACTATGCCTGGACCACATCCCTAGGGAACAAATTTCTGTGCTGTGGGATCAAGAAAAAGGACCTCATAATTAGAAACAAAAAACTTTGCACAGTTCAGGGTTGGGAGGTGTATGCTCAACACTAGATCTTGGAGAGCTGTCAGGCTCTCTGGTGGATTCTTTGTTTGTTAGCTCCAGTCTTGGAAAAGCCATCGTGAACCCAGCAGCGTGTGCAGAGGCTCCCTGAGGGAACACTGGCTTGGGAGAATGAGGCTGCAGCTCAGTTTGGTCAGTCTCCATCCAAAGGGCAACAAATCAGGCTCTGGAGTCCAGCAGCCATTTGTGCTGTATGTGTTAAAGGCCAAGAGGATGTTTCACAGACTAACTAAGCTCTGAGCAAGAGGAGGTGAGGCAGAAGAGTTAGGGGAAGAAGAAGCAACACAGAAAACTGCCTACAGCCACCTTGATCTGCAAGCCAGACAGGAAATCTCTTTCGGCCTTTTCCCCCTTGTTGGCTGACTGAAGGTGCTCAAGTTCAGACCCATGGGAAGAAGACAAGGTTAAACACTTTCCCTTCCCTCTACTCAGGGAGGCGCTTGAGACTGCTGCAGTCCCAACACCACCTCCATCCAGAAATGCTGCAGCAGCCAGCCTGCTTTCCCTTCAGGAAGGAGGTGCATTCTCCACTCTCCCACCAACTGGCTGTCAACGCAACACAGGCACAGGACCACGCAGCCTCACCACCCAAGCCTTTGCGTCCGACTGGTCCCTTGCGAAGCTCCGTTCCCACCACTTCAGAGCACGGCTGAGCAGCACGGTGCTGCCCTGCTTGCTTCTGGGTCAAAGACTGTGCACAACCCAGCTGCACGACATCAGTTTTTGCACCCTAAAATCCAACAGAGCCCAGACAATGTCAGGAGTCTCAAATCCAAACGTTGCTGGCTCCCTCTCTTCTTGGCCAACAGCTCCAAGCAGGCTGCAGCTGAGGGCAAGAGCTTCGGAGTTCATGTTCAGCCTCACACTTTGTGAGACACCTGCAATTTGTGTTTCAGAGTCTCTTCAGATGTGCCTCACGGGGAATTACTGTGTCAGGAACGCTTCATAAGCAAGAATAAGCAGCACTGATTTGACCCTCACCACCAGCTGACATAGGAAGTCAGTCTGTGATTTCAAGGCATGTTTTTGGGGGGTTGGCAGTGTTATGCACACAGAGTTGTTCACTCTTCCTACTTCCAGACAACCAAATCCAGACCGAAAAAGCATTGCTAATGTCAGGACAACGATCGTTTTAGAGCAACTGGACAAACACTCTAAGCCTCATTTGCTTACATACAGCACTGAACTAAATCAGCCCCAAAGAAACGCTTTGCAGAGCCTAGCAGCTACAGTGACATGAGTCCAGGTGCTTCCAAGCCCTTCTGGGCTTTTCCTGTTATGGGGAAAGGTGAAATGGCTGTTTTGTGACACCAGTTTTCCACCATCAATTGCAGTTCGTGAGAGGGACAAAAATCACAGCAAAGCTCATCAGCAGGGAACAAATTGGGAAGATGTGCCTCTCTGCTTTAGCAGAAGACACCTTTCCTTCATCAAACAAAAGCAGATTGTCATCACAGGAGCACTGCAGAGACACACTCTCACTCTGAAGAGGCACCACAGTGAAAGCAGGGTCAGCCTGAAGGCAAGACAGACTAAGCTCTTTAAACTCCTTGGGATTTCAGATTAGCGCCGATGCACTGACAGGGATACAAACAGGAACACACACAAGTCAGCTTAGCACAGAGAAGGTAGAACAAGACAGTCAGTGTGCAAGAAAGAAAAGATACAACAGAGCAGCAAAAACTGTGAAGAGGACATCCAGTAGCTGAAGAGCAGTCAGGGGATATCCTTTTGGCCGCGGGTCAATAACTTTATAACTCAAATTTAATGAATTGAAGGTCATGATCAAGGCCTTCATAAGGGGAAGGAAGCTAGAAAAGGTAAAGTACACAGTGCACGGAATATACTGACAGAAGCACAAACGCACCTCTGCCTAGATACTCTGCACTTGGCCACCTGAGCTGGGAACATTTAAAGATAAGGACAGGAGGAAAAGCCAAGGACTACTATCCCAAAATACATATTCACATAATAAAATGTATTAAATACCTACTGCCTCAGACTCAAACCTAAAAGTGGTATAAATGATCTCCCCAGTGGGATGTACCCTCATTTCCCAGGAGTGGATGGGATATGAAGAGGACTGGAGACTGTTCATGACAAGCACACAGAGAACTAACACTGGAATAGCAAATTTGGCCAAATCAAACACCCAGGGCAATGCTGGGCACAGCAACCCTGACATCAGGTTTCCAGGAACACACCACCTTCCTCTGCCCGTGGCCCAGCAGCAATTCGCCACCAACTAGGTGCTTCGGTCTGCAGCACAGACAGGCTGTGGATCAGAGCACTTCAGCACCTCTTTATTGAGCGAACAAGGCAATACCAAGGCTACGGTGCCTGCTTCCATGCCGGCAGGCATGCAGCACACAGCCGCTCAGAGCCAGCTGCTTGGAAAGTAAAATACACCTAGTAGTTTGTTGGGGGATCTTTGAGGTTTGCTTACGTACCAGGAAGTTGCTTCCAACCATCAGATGCTCATGCTGACACTCTACCTTAGACAGCCCACTGCTCCTGCTCTACCCCAGAAACCAGGTAAGTTTGGGTTAACACTCGTGGATGTATTCTAGCTGGCTTGAGAGAGCATAACTAAGATAACACTCACCCCAACAAAGGGAATAAACTTCTGCGAAGATTCTTCATCAGGGCTAAAGGCAAAGAGAAAAGAGTTGTTAACAGCTTGCTTCCGCACCAGGTACAATACTCACTTCATATGTTGCATTCAAGCATGCAGCAGGGACGGACAGTATGCAAGCGCCAGTCCAATGTCTCCTCTCAAGGCCCCCTGCCAGCACGCTAAGAATCTGCATGGGTGGGGAAGAGCACGCAGCTTACGGCACATCTCTCAGGGGAAAGGTCTCTTCCTCCCTCCCTCACGCTTGACAGAGAAACATGCTTTAATGGCATGGCAGTCATTACAGACACACGACCTCCTACTGCAAAGAAATGGATCTGCGCCACAACAACACGGAGAACTGTGCGTTACTTACTAGTACCTGAAGCGCTCTGCACGCATGGCCTTCACGCGTCCCACCTTTGGAGTCATGTGCCATACCTTGCACATCCCAGCATCGCTAAAGCAGTTAGCCTGCCACGGGGTTACAAGCCGTGACACGTGGTTATTTGTATAGCACCAGTAAGTACGTACACACTCACACACACAGACACGCGTTCCCTGCCACTGGGAGCTTGCAGTCCCTTAGATGGGCACACTGGAGAGGTCAGGTACCAGAGAACCCCGGGTAGATCAGGACACCAACTCGAGAACAGCAAACAGCTAAACCAAACCGAACAAAACGCACACCGTGTCCCAGAAACAGCTGAAGACAACACTACACACATTCTGAAAGCAGGAAGGTATCAGCCCCTCCTGCCCTGGCCCTGCCCAGGATTCAGAAGCTGGAGGGTGGAGGAGGACCAGCAATGAAGGCCACAGTCAAACCTAGCAGG